AGTTCACTGTAAGTCTAGTGAGGAAACCGGACCTGTTCATGTCACCGACCTTAAATGATTTTATTAAGCAGAAGACGAAGATTCCTGGCAGGACCGGAACGACACTGGCGGCAGTCCGTTCCAGAAAACCCCTTGTCTCCACCAAGGCGGCGGTATAACCTGCGACGTCGGTAACATCAAAGAGAGAGGAACTTTTTTTTTTTTTTGTGTGTTTCCTTGGCTTTGCCTCTCTCGCATTTTGGGGGTAGTTTTCTACTTCCACGGATCTGCCCCCTTTTCAAGAGAGGGGGGAGCAGATTGTGTACCCACCTCAGATCCGTTATTTCAAACTTTCTGGAAGGGGTGCATGCGAAGATAACGTCAGGCTCAACCCTCAACTGAGCCTTATGTTGTCTGCTTCCTTGTTTCTCTACGAAGCTGGCGCATGGACAACAACGTCACCACAGCCACCATCGGAACGACACGAAGGCCGGTCTCATGTTGGACCGGGCCACCAAGGTTGTCGGCACACCAGGGGCGGCCCAGGGAACCATGGACCGTCGCCACCCTCTACAGACTGGAGCAGCAGCTGGCTCGGATCAAGGACCACGTGCAGAGCTGCCACCTGCTAGAGGCGGTCCAGAGCAACAAGATGGAGCCCTGATCCAGAACAAACTCAAGCCACAAGCTGGAGCTGACCGAGCCGCCGCGCTCGTCCAGCAGGCGCCGGCCAGACTTACGTCAGTCTGCCCAACAGCGCATCCACCCCGACGCCCACAACGTCTCAGTCATCGACATGCCGGACGAAGCTTGAGGGGGGGGGGGGGGGGGGGAGTGTGGGCACCCTAGCAGCTTCCCAGCGCAGTTGCCCGACTGCGAGGCAAAGGTACCAAACTCTTCCCGCGTGGCGGCGACGTCACACCAGCCACACGCACATCGCATGCGCCGCCTTGATAAGGCGTATCAGAGGCAGTGCACAGAGAGTCGCCGCCTGGACTCAGGCGCCGCTGGTAACCATGTTAATCGTCTCGTCCATGTCCCATTAAATGTAGTTTCTTGTTGTTGAAACCGTCGGCTCCGTGTTATTCCTCCGGGTCGGGTATGCAGCAAGGCAAACCGACCACAACCTGGATGTAACGAACCTGTATACAACGAAATCCTCTATTTAACAATCTTTTTCAATTTCCCAACACAATCTTCATAGAAGCGCTTGTATTTGTGAACTCCATGTAACGAAGCGCTCAAACTGGATAACCTTGATTTAACGAACTTGCTCCGCTGCAATCTCCATTTTTTTTTTCGGACTCCGATAATTCAGATTTGTTCAATATTTGGACCTAAAGGCGGAACCGTGACTTACCCCATAAAAATAGTGTATATTCATGACCAATGTTTGGACAGCTTGAAGTCCAAAAATTCGGTTATTTGGACAAAATCGTCGCGAGCGATCAGCAGGAAACACCATCAAGAAGTGGCCATTTTGAATTCTATGTTGGCTGCAAATGGATTGGCTTGGTTTGGCAGAGCTACTGGCGCTACGTGAGTACTCCCGAGTCGTACCACTAGGTGACGCTATGCTAGACCTTTTTTTCCATTAAGCTGCACGTCATCATCAACATCATCATTATCATCATCATTTTGCTTTTCCCGTTTCTTCGCGTCGCCAAGTCGCCATTTTGCGCTCGTGGTTTTGCGCCTCTTATCTTGTTCGCACAACGCTGCCTTGGACGTCATGGCCCCATCTGTTCTTCTGCCGCCGCGATGTGTCATTAAGAAGCGCAGAAAGTACTCAACCATAACGCTAGAAAAGAAGGCAGCGATTCTCAAGCTAACTGAAAGTTGCCGAATGGAAACGGAGGCGTAACCTGAAACAAGGCACTATTTACAGCTTTTTTAAGCCCACTTGGAATAATAAAGGCAAGTTTTTCAATTACCTGATATCTCGGACTGCTCTATTATTCAGACGTTTTTTCGGTCCCTGCGAAGTCCGAATAATCGGTCGGCGACTGTACCTAAAATGCAGATATTCTTGTCCAATTGCCACCAAAGGCGAGCAGCCTTTGGTGCCTACCGCGTGGGAGTTCTTGGATGCCATCGATGTATTACGCCGGGTCGCCGGCTCCCAGGAAAACGACAGCACTCTAAACGCTTTGGTGTCCTTTGAGCGCTGGGTGCTGCCTTTGTTCGCGCGAAAGACAGAATCCAAGCTTACAGACTTCTTTTCCACTAAATAAATGACGCGGAGAATTTTCCCACGTGGATTTTTCATTTTCGCTTCCTTTCCACGTGTCCTTTATGAGTTTTTCCACGAAAACTGCATGTAATGAAATCCTCCATATAACGAATTATTGCAAACTTTTATCAATTTCGTTACATCCAGGTTGGAGGAAGGGAGGCAGGCAAACGCACCATCGAACACAATGATAATAATAATCTTTATTTGCACCAAAGTTTTACCCAGAGTGGCTTGCACGGCTAGCACAGAAAGGCAAAAGCCCGTACGCTTGTGCGTCTACTAGCCAACCACCCGGGGCAAAAGAAAAACGAAGGACTGCACGCTGCCTTTCGAGCTGATGCAGCTTTTCTTACACATCTGCGATGTAAGCTTCACGCAACATAAGATCAGCAGTAGGAGCTCCGCCTCCAGCACATGCTTGTTGATTTTTGTGGTGCATTGGTGCGCGTGCATGCTCGATGTATACTTCGTTTCCGAAGTTACAAGCGCGAGTATGTGGCTCTGAACAGTGCTTGCACTGCACGAGCACGTGCTTGACAGGGTCACTGAAAGCCCACAGCTCGCACTTGTAGCATCGGCTGCTGAACCGAAGTATAGTTCAATCGGATCGCTCAACTGATCGGACAGTATAGCGTGTTCCTGTTTGTAAAATTCGCATGACGCATGTTTCGATGCATGCCACGGCCGCTTGATCGAGTGGCCGTGCCTTAGCACCTGGAGGGCGAGAAAAACAATTGTCTCGCTTACTCAGTGCGCTGGGCGGTTAGTATCGTTCCCTTCGCTCGACTTCGCACAGTTTCGATGGGAATCTGTAGAAGTTCACTCTGGGGCTCTTCCTGTTCTTGACAGTTGACGATGCAACAGTACCACCGACAGTGACGTTTCGAACGCATCAAGGCCGCGCATGGGTTTCGAGGTGCTTGGACGAAGGAGAAATTACTAGCTTGGGGCGAGCTCAGGTCCCCGGGGTAACGTTGAGCGGTGATGACTACGGATGTATTTTGAATCGCGACCACGAGGATGCACAAATAACAGCAGCGCACACAGGCAAAAAGCCGCCCGAACAGGTTTGTTATTGTACGAGGCCGCGGGGCCTTGGCAGGCTTGTACTACTCAGACATTTTATTGCCCGCCACCGGAGGGTGCCACGATACGTTCAAAGCTTCAGAGCAGGAGGCCTATGTCTGGGGCTCGGCGATTCCTCGACCAAAGCTTCGTCAAGTGTGCGCAACGCTCGGTTTCATGGTTGATCACTTCCGCAACTACCGCAATGACGCATATGCGGCCATTACGAGAGCGGCTTGGCTTGGCTTGACTTAGCCTGACCACGTAGTGGCATAAAGAAATTGGCTTCATGGCTAGCTAAACTAGATGCAATTCGAGACTTGCGGATCCTAAAATCAAAGGTGTGTTGATTATGCGAGGGGAAAAAAAAAGTCAAAATATTGATGCCCCTCGGAGGGGTGCGTTCATTATGCGAGTAAATACGGTATAGACCGACACACTGTTTACAAACAAGCGCGCATTTGCCCACACCAGGTGTGGGCACTGCGCAAGCGCAGAAACCAGATTCACACGAGGTGAAGCATCTGCGCATGCGCCGTCGCGACAACAGCGCCACCGCAGGAGCGTGACGTCAGAGCCTCGTGTTGGTCGATACTTTATCTCACTAGCTGGGTGCGGTACTGCAGAAGCTACTGGCAAGAGAGAGAAAAAAGCCTCTTTTGTACGAAGTTTGAGTGACAGGCTAGTCTCCGAGGTGGAGCAAATCAATGTGGGGTTCACAAGAGAGGGTCCGGGTAAGAGGAGATTTCCTTCTTTTCCTTCCTTTTTAACTGCTCGGGTTACGCTCTTGCCACAGTACCTTTGGCAATGCTGTGTGCATCAAGTGAGATACAGTAGTAGTATATATAATGGGAATGGCAGGAATTCATTCAAGTAGTTTTTAGCCTGAAAACACCTCGTACAAGTGCTGTGTACAGCAAAATCAAACATGATTGATACCAAGCCCTTCTTGGGTATGCACTAAGAAGGGGTGCGTGAGTAGAATGTTTGTAATAAATATTTAAGCTAAAAGCTTGCCAGCCATTCTGGAAGCTCCAAACAAAGAGCTCATAATATCTTGCATCATTAGGTATCATGGACATCATCCAAAATTGAAGTACATCTAGCAGACCATGTGCAATCTGACAATCAATTGCCAACAGAGTGTTCTGGGTGTGGTCTCTTCCATTGTCGTTGTCTTTGCTGACAGATCAAAACCTGAACAGTCAATGTCAATGTGATCAGTCTGAGCGCTACAGGTGAATGACACAGCGTGTTTTAACGCACCGGCCACCAATCTATGGTACAATGTCAGTTTAAATCTAGGCCGGCGGGATTTGTACTCATGTCATAATCTGTAGCTCAAGCTTGCAGACTTCAACAATGTCTGCTGCTGAGCTGAAGAACAATAACAGACTAAGGCACAAGTGTCCCTGCATTCATGTACCCGACAAAACAGGAACCAGAACAAGAAAAAGAAGCAGGAAAAACAAGAACCAGAACCCAGTGCCCTGTGCTGACAATTGATTCCCACAATCTACCTATGCCGTTACGGGCTCTTCAATTGCAAACACTGTCCGCTGGTGCATGCCTTTGCAAGTCACAATTCTTGTTCCGTACATGTGTTTGTACAGAACCAGAATTCAATGTGTGGAAATAATAAAAAAATAATATGCACGTGCGTGGAATACATAGTTAGAACAATGCCCCTAAATCTTGCAGTAAACCTGGTGAGACTCACTCAGAATCATCAAGCGTGACAGAAGTGTGGCTCGGTTCAGGCATCTCAATGACTACGAAGGCGTCGTCTCTCACTGGAGGAGTGGCAATTCCTGTGGATCCAAGAACATGAATCAATAAATCAGAGCAACTTGACCCAAGGTAATGAATTATGCAATGAAAGAATTGAGTCAATTCATTCAACCAACTTGGATATAAAAATACCACTAAGGCTTCTTTGATTACAGAGTAACCACTTGCAAAATAATAACAGTCACTACACTTTAAAAAAATAACAAATCATTTAAAAAAATTTTAAGTTGTGTACATAACTTCATTAAAAAAACAACAGCAAACTTTTAAAACAATTAAGTCTAGGAATAAAGAAAGCAGCATGAGATGTATACCATATTCCCAGACTACCTGGACAGGCCATACAAGTGATTACAAAAACAAACCCTATGAGTCGCTAGTAGAAACTTGTTGATACTTTCTCAGTTAATATGTTTTCCTGCCTGTTATGTTTATGAATGCTGGCCCTGTAGAACACCCAAGGTATGTACTAATTTTCTGTTTGTTGTATTTGCCTCCCTGACTTTTACGTAAAAAACCTGTCAACTGACATGGCTAACATGTTGCACTGAGCTACCTGGTTGCAGCTGCCCTTTTACGTCTTGCTCCGCACCCCCCCCCCCCCCCCCCCCTTTTTTTGTTCACCTCTTTGCCTCTCTATGGCCTTCTTGTCTGGGCAGGCAAGATCTTGAACAAGGCTCAGCCAGTTCATCTTTCAGCCTCTTTCTCTATCACATGCAGGTGCGCCTGCCATGCTCGGTGATTCCATTCTCCCACTTTTGCTAGTTCCATTTCACGTGGAGCTCAGAATTACTAACCGTGCACCGCACATGAATCACGCATAACTCTTTTGCAGCAGTCCATAGCGTCGAACTTCACTGCTCTGCACCAGTGTGCTCAGAGCAGTGGCCCATGTGGAGGACCCTCTGGCTTCTCGAAGGGCTAAACAATTTTACTGACTCAGGTCGACAGTCTTTGGCTACGGCTATAACTCGACCCCCCACTTTAAAGGGACCATGAAACGATTCTGAAATCGAATTTCATCCACCGCACGTCGTAAATGTGTGAAAAGAAACACAAAAACGCAAAAATAGGGAGCCAAAAAAAATTCTTCGCTATAGAACTTTTAAAAGAAAACCGGACTCTTTTGCGCCTTCTTTCCCTTGAAAGCTCTCTGCCTTTTCACTGCGATGCATCCGCGAAACCGCAGAATGTCAGCCGAATCCACGTCGCCTATTGGGTAACAGCCTACCTCACCAGCACAGCGATTATAAACAATAAATAGTTGACAAATGTTTCCTAAACGTTTTGTTAAAATAATATTCAGATCCACATTTTGTAGCATAATTAGAGATGTGACAAAAATTGCCAAATTTGACAATGCTGAGAGCCAAGCGCCATCTATCGTGTGGTAAACGAAGCAACTACAGTAGGGCCGACAGCGTCGTTCAGTTACTTGGCCGCGACGACAAACAAACATTTATTTTTCTAGGTGTTCTTCTCGCGCGTCTCGACTTCAAGCAGCAAGAAAAAAGTACTTGAAACAGACCACGACGAGCAAGAACGCTGGATCCACAAATACCCGAGAAAAGCTACAACGGCGACAAATCTACCAATGCCGACCAAGCGAGCTCAGCAGATAGGCCTAGCAGGCACTCCGACTCGGCGCAGCGTTGCTTCAACGGTACTTGGCTAAGATTGTCTGCCTACGAGCAACTGGCGTGCTGAGTGGAATATTCCCGCGCGACCCTTGTGGACCCTTCCCGTATTATAGTTTGATCGCTGACGTCAATTTTAGATTAAGAGGTGAGGTCAATCTCTTCCCCTTGTTTTCCGAGGCAATGTTGACGAACACTGTCATCGAAAAGGGACTCTCGTCGATTCTATCTTGTTTTGTGTGATATAGAGCTCAAATAAACGCCGTATGGATTACCTTCGTAACACGGTATGTACACTCTGTTATTAGTATGCCATTTTTATTCTGACACGAATGTCACTGTCAAGCTACAACAGTTCGTGGAAGCTATGTGCAATACCGGTCCAACCTTCCTTTGCCGAGTGTCACGTCAGTATCGAGTTGCAATCGTAAAAAATTGGTACCGAAGCACCTATTAACAGCACGAATACAGCACTTCCATCAAACGCGTGCGTCCGTTCCGAGTGTGAACAGGTATTTACGTGGCTCTTGCTGACACTGTCGTAGTTCAGACGTATCTTTTTTAACGTCGGCTCGCTCCTGCATCTCCGAGGCCGCGAAAAATGCTGCGGCCATTTGTTTCCATCAACGTCGCTTTGCAAACGATTGACACAGTCTGCCTTTTACCAACAATAACAGTTGGGTCGACTTCTGGAGTCTTCACCAAAAGACTTACTGCACTTCCCAACAGGCATGCCGGTGTATGGTACTAGTCTTATGCTGTCGCTGTAGCGCAACATATCTCATTGAATTTCGCTCAGCTGCTATGTGTCCATGGCTATCGCGGCTATGAGAGGCGCCGATTCAGAAAATACGTCGGTGCCATCAGCGCAGTAAAACCTATTGGTGCACCCCCAACTCACCGCCGCTAATGCTCCCATTCTCCTACTGCCGAGATAACTTCCAGTTCCTGTCCCAGAGTATGTCACGACCGTCAAAATTACGAAGCACCTTGTTTTACGGTCAGTTGAAGAGAAAGAAAAAGTCAACATTTCATTAATTTTTTGTGTAGAAGTTAATAAACCGAGACGAAAACGGATGCCTGTTCAGCATTCAGTGAACGTTGAAGGTTTAATGTAAAAGTTATCTGGCAAAAGCAAAAAGGTCATTTCATGGTCCCTTTAAAGTAACAGCTTTAAGAAAAAGTCAACCTACATTTGAATAAGTATGGTAGTTTTCCATAGTCATAAAAATACAAGAGAAATAAATTGCAATGAGACATGTTTCTTGTCTCATTTACAGGTTCCCAGGAGTATTATCAGTTGTTACATCATACATTTTCTTAACTGAGGTCCCATGAAAAATATGAGGCTCTACTACTTAAGTGAAAAGCAAGCAGAATGTCATTCACTTCCATTTACAGAAGCCCAGTAAATGACAAGAAACTAATATTCTTGGGCCAAAGACATTTGAAGCATGTATGGGAGCTTGAAGGGAACAAACAATTAGGGTGGGGGGTGGTGTTTTTTGCTTGGTTCACATAGCTTTGACGGAGATTATTATATTGGGTGGTTTAGCGGCGAGTGTCTGCTGTTGAAGCGGTTGTCAGTCTGACTGGCTGGGTTCCAACCAAACTTTGCAGCGGCATGCCTTTTGTCTTTCCTCTTTCCTGTCGATGTGGACGGCTATGTATTGCGGCTCCCTCGCGAATAAACCCAGCTATGTTTGAGAGGTGGTGTCGTCTTGTTTGTCGTTTTATTTCTCTATGCCTTAACGTTTAGATTGTGACGTTTCCTGACCAGCTCGCCTGGATACCTTCGCTTCTTGCAAATAAACTTGAACATACAATCTAGTAATGTTTCTTTACCTTGTCATATGCAGTGCTGGACCCACTAGCACCCACAATTAACATTTCCCACACTTGGTAATTCTGCAAATTATACGTTAATTCCCCGATTTGACAGGAAAAGCACCTGCCTCTAGATTAATCCAGCTTTCAGTGAAAATGAGGTGGGTGCTCCCCCAGTATTTTACGGTATAAACATAGCCGAAGACATAACACCCATAGTGATAGTTACCATGTGTCTTCAAAACACCCATAATAAAGGTGACAATCAAAATGTGGATATTTCAAGCAACTTAATCGCATTTATCTTTTTCACACACAAAAGTGTGAAATGAAAGGCAATCAAGAAGGCCCAAAAGCCAGCTGTACAAATGTGAGCCCTCTAACAAATCAATTGAGGAATCTTGATTTGTAATTACAGTTAACTCTCATTAATTCAACCTCCAGAAAGCCACAAATTTTATTTGAAGTATCAGAAGTTTGAATTATCAAAATGTTACCTAAATATGATGCCAGATAAAATTGTGATTCGCTGTTTGGATGGCTACATATGAAAAACAGATATTTCACGATTTCCTCTACACAGGCCTACTAATCATAAGCAGGTATGCCACACATGAAACACTGGTCAAATGTGTGACATAAGTTTATTCATCCGTCAAAAATGGTGTTTATCGAGTACTGCTCAGAGAGCACATGGCACCTCAAAACAAAATTAAGTTTGTTTTTCCATAGAAGTGTTGTCTGCTTTATAGATTATGTACCTCTCCTGCTTGGACGCCCCTGCAGTCTGCAGTACTGTTAAAAAAAAAAAAAAAAAAAATAAATAGTTTTTTTATTGTGAACCATTAAGCAGGGGATAGAAGATGGATGAAAATGGGCGCCGCGCGGCAGCTTCCATAGCCATTTGCGCGGACGCTGTGGCGTGGACTTATGCCATGCCATCACGCCACAGCGTTTGCATAAGTTGCTCAGAAACAGCAGCGGGGCCTTCCCGGTTTCATTGCTCATATTTTCCCGGCTTTAGCCCCACTGGTCACACTCCTTACCTAACACCGGTGAACTGCAGAAAAACGACACTCGCGGAAGCGAGCTCTGCAGGTGTTGCGTCTCCGCAGTGCACCGATGCTCGGAAAGAAGCGTGCTCGATGGTGCCGCAAGAACTAGAAGTATAAATTACATGAAAATGGCGCTCGAATTAAGCGTCTTATAAAATACATTGAGAACAAACGGGGCAATCAAAATTTTTAAATCTGTTTGAATTACCCAGAAGTATGATATAGAAGGGTTTGAATTATTGTGAGCATACCGTAGTATAATAATTATCTGAGGCAACATGAGTTCAAAATTTCACAATTGTATGCCTGAAATGAATCGCTGGTAAGACATTTAAGAACTGATGAAAACAAACTTTCTACTCAAGCCAGGGGGTGAAATGTGACGGTACCTGAAGCAACCTTGGGCATCTCTGTCTGAAAATTCTCCTGCGACACTGCCTCGGGTTTTGCGATGGAACAGGAAACGACTGGGAGGTTCCAGACTGTCTTGGCCTTGCGGTCCCTCGCCAGGGGCTTGTTCTTCCTCCAGCTGGAGGGAATCGAGGTCGACATGTGGCCCATCTTGCGCGACTTGCCGCAAACCGAGACAGAGGAATCGCTGCTGCCAGACAAGCCGCGGCAGGCCATCTTCATGCGAACGCCACCGCTCGTTGCCTGGAATCCAGTCTCAAAGGCTTGGTCCTGGCTCGGTGGGCAGGCTTGGCAACCCTGGTTGGAGCGGCTTGTTTCCGACGGACCACAGGCTGTGTCTAGCAACACTGGGGAGCACTGGACGCACGAATCCTTCAGCTGGAAATTGAAAGGAAGAGTCCACGATCACTGGATGTTCTTAGTGCACCAAAAACCCTCAATCTTTCCCCCACCGCTTATAGACAATGGAAGTGTTGGACAGATGTCGAAATAGACTCGATATGTAAAGCTTCCTAGCAGAGGGTAATGTGCATGTGGGAACGCCTGCGCACAGGGTGGCACTGAATGTTAAGAATAAACCAATGAGGTCCGTAAAGCCACTGGTAGATTCAAAATGTCTGCAGCTGAACAAAGATTACACCTCTAAGAACTATGAGGCAAATGAGTATACTTCATATCTATTACGATTTATGAAGTCACACGGTGGAACACAAAATATTGTGGCTCAGCTAAGCCAAATGGCACCAATAAAAGTTCTCCCAGTTTGAGTAAATAATGCATTAATAAATATGGCTGCAAGCAACCAATCAGCAAGAGGTATATTTTCCCGAGTTAGTATGAAACACGGACATTTGGGAGCAACTGGAACTTTCTCGGAGTACTGGGGACCGTGCTTGAGCTTGTACACTCCCTTATCCCCTTCAATGCTAGATCCTTTTTGTCCTTCATTTCAATAATTTGAGACTCAGAGTGGCCAGGTCAAGCAAAGTAGTTTGAATGTGTTACAAGCATTTGAAATGAAATAGCAGCATTAGCACATTTCGTGCCACATTACACCCTACACACACAACTCGCATCAACGTCCGAGATGTAAAGAAAAACAAAAAGGTGCACATATTATTCACATATTTTTAACACATAGAAAGTTGTTCTATGCATTGAACATAGTAAACACTGAGCTGTCATAGAAAGTTGTTCTAGGGTATGAGAGCTTTATTTGAATACTCAAATATCAGTGCTGTCGGTATTTGTAAATGAAGCCAACGAGGTGTGTTCTTTCTGTCATCTTTCGATCCGATGATGTCGTGCTCTTAATATCCACAGATTCAAAACAGTCAACTCTTGATAATTTGAAGCTTGCAAGGACAGCAACACACTTTGAATTAAACATAAGATACTTTGAAGAAAGAAAAAAACACTGAAATCAGTTGCTTTTATTTATTACTCACCGGGAGAAGCTGATTTTTAGTTGCCTCGACTAACGGAGACATGTATATTGCTCCCCTAACGAAGACGTGCAGCATTAACTATGCTCTGGGAATAGCAAACCTTTCTTGGGCCTCTCACTGCAGTTTCATGGCCAAAGAAAACACAAAATTGTACTTTGTGACGCCACAAGCCGTTTTTGTGCCAGCAGCGCTCAGTCACTCGGCACAGAAAGCGACGTGATCGTTCCTAGGCCTAACCACTTGCACAATGTCTTTTGTCTGAAAGCAGACTACAGACCATGGCATGTTTGTTGACATCAATACTATCAGTCGATAAAACATCTCACATGTCTGGGTAATGTCTCAAACAAAGTTTTGTTGGCCGTACGGGCCGCGTGGCCACGCTCGTTTTTGCAATTTGCGTGGGGACGATACCACGATGCACACACTCTCAGCCAGCCAGCCATGGCATGGCTTAGCCGCCTAGCGACTTCTTTGCACGCTACTCTTGTTCCCTTTTTTTCCTGACTGTGCACACGGTAGATAAAAGTGGTAGAGTGTGTAGGGGTGCAGTTTAAACATGGCCAATATGATCGCGAGGCTTTTTTATGCTCCCAAAGTTGCCAAACTTCTCAAGTACACAAAAAAATTTTTTCGAAATAATTTGCTCCAGAGGTCACACATAGAATTACTGTGTGTTTTTTCCCATAGACTTGCATTTGTAATTGCCGAGACCACGCCCCTGCCTCAAACTAACCGAAAATTGGAGTAAAGCTATATTCAATTACTAGGAGTCGACTGTAACAATAGAAGGCATGGCCCAGCATTTATCTCTAATCTGTCCAGTATGGAGCCACGTCAGTGTCTTTTGTCAGAGGGCACAGCAGCTCCAGAGTATGCCATCAGATGTAATAATCTTTGGATGGTAAGCAATGTTCCTGCGTTCTTCATCAAAAGGCATTCAGTAAGAAGAAAAGGTATAAGCATTTTACTCTGCACAGTAGGTATAGATCCAGCTCAAACGTCCAACCATACTAAGGTTAGGCACAAAATACCTACCTTAGATAGTTCTGAAAATCATATTTACTAGAAAAAATAAAATAACAAGAATAAAGATACCCTAAAAAGCCAAACCGTATTCTGAAAATGTTTGTTTGGAAACTAAATCTATTTTTACCTCCCAAATAGTGCAAATCATACAGCCTACAAATAATTACCTTAATGCGTATACCGTAAAATCCCGTAAGGGCGCCCTGTCGGGAGAGATCCATCATCCCATTCTTCCGGCTAAATATCCCCAACATAAAAACTCCGAAACAATGCCCCCTCCCCAATTCCCGCAAAACATTGTGCGATGCCCGACGGAAATCGCATTAATTATGCGACCTGCAGTACTGGTACGTGCGACGAGCGAGTTCGCGCCTGGTTCCCGTGTTTTTGTCCACGATTTGCACGTGTAATATCGATTCCCGTGACACGCGAGTTTGTAGCCAGTTTCTGCGTGCTTATCGCACCGTGAAACACAGATTTGCTGCATCCACAGTGTGACGTATCCTTTCCCGTGACACAGTAGTTTGCACAAATTCCCGTATTTACAGTGTTGTGAGACGCGAACTTGTCGTGTCTGTGGTCTGCGGTATCATTTCCCGTGTCACGTGGTTTGTGGCTGGTGCCCCTGTGTTTACCAGTGATTTCTGACAAAGTTTTGCTATCTCATCCCCAAAGAAGCCCACCTCATGTTTTTCACTATTTATCTCTTCATTTCGGTTGGGCAGCCCTACGGGATTTTACGGTACTTATGTGCATTACTATTGCACTCCGTTCACCCCTCAGCTGCCAGTGTGGTAAAAGTCGTATGCTTGTTGGATCAGTCACATGTGAATCGTTAGCCACATGATCACGCTCCTGCCCATGCCCACACGCAGAGAGCAGGGTCAGGTGATGAAAGGGAGGTGGAGGATGGGTCCGGTGAACGCACAGATCCCACTGTAACGTCAGCTTACGGATGAAAGGAGTATAGTGATACAGTATAGACCACTTACAACGTAACCGCTTCTAGTGCAGGACCGGGTATAACGCGGTTTTTTTAAACCACCGGTTCACCTCCCATAGAACTCCATGTAATTACATACCGCTTAAAATGCAGGCGCGCGAAGGGAAATACCGGTTATAGTGCGGTTTTTGGCACAGCCCGCCGACCGCGCCGACGACTGGAGCAGTGAGCTCGCTTCCCTGTGCGACACTAGATAACGGCGCTGACGCAGCTGACGGCGCAAGTTGCAAGCTGCACTCGCAGGGCAAGGAGGTTGCTCGAAAACACGGGGAGAAGCGAAGAGAGGGGGGCTTCAGTTGCCATAGCGACGGAGGGACGCACGCACGAGTCGTTCACGTGCCTCTCCGCTCTAGACCGGCCGTGCCCTCCGCTGCATTGGAAACAAAGAAACAAACAACCACAACGACACACCAATCGCAGGTCGAGGAGAAGTGTTCGCGCGCGTTGCATGCCGGTCGCGGGCCGGCTGCTTCTATTCCGCAAACATGGCGTCGGTTGTGATCCTTGTCGTAGACGGCGTGCATCTCATCGTTCTGTGTAAAAGCGCCATCCTTGACTGTGAATTTTTGTTGTGTGTCGCTATGATAACCCAGCACGTACTAGAAGGGAAGATCCACCTACTCGTGCGGCGATGTCGTGGCGGCGCTCTCAAGACAGCAGAAACGCCCGTGTCGTTGTGTTTGTTTACTTCGACTACAGTGGTGATTTCTAAGCATTTATGTCCTCGAACATCGCCCGGATTTCTTATTTGGCGCATTTCATGCGTGTGCTCAAGTTCAAGATATCACTGGCGCGTACCGTACGAAGGATGCTAATTTTCACGCGTTTTCATCTCCGGAGAAAAGTGATTAGGGTTAGCAATCCTGAAGCTCGCAATGTCCGTCCGCAACCCGCGACGCCGTTAAAAGGCTGCGCCAGGCAAAAGCTGCTCATTTCTTTCAAAATGTGTGACACACTTGAGACAGAACTGTACTAGTCTGGTGAAATAAAGACTTTCCTCAAACTAAGCTTTATTTTTCATCTAACATAAAATAAATTCTTTTATAAAGGTAAGTTGTCTCATGGCGTGTATTTTGGCCTGAAAAATTGATGTTTTGGTTATAGTGCGGTACCGCTTATAGTGTGGATTTTCGCGACTCCCGAGACATACGTTATATGCGGTCTGCACTGTATATGGTTATGGATATCAAGAGGTTTTTTCCGATACAAAAGAAAGTAGCCCTCGAAGGTAGCTGTATGAGCACATGTGAGTAGAAAAATACTACAATCAGTATTTTTGCTTTAATTTCTAACATATGCAGTTGTTGGAAAACAAAAAAGTTGAATACTCTTTCCAAAACTTTTTCACTGAACCAGCTAGCAATACAGGGCAAGGCACATTTGGCACAAACTGAAACAAAATTGTATTTGTTAACCATGAAGTTTTTTTAGTGAGGGACACTTACCTCGGATATAGCTGGGGCACTAGCCAAAACGTTCCTCGTGTGAAGAATTTCAGGCTCAAGTAATTGTGATCCTCTGCTGGATGTTACAGTGCCTAACAAAGTAACAATTCATGCATTAGCACGTGAAGGATTGAATAGGACTAGGTAGTATGTCAACATGCTGTAAATGAAAGGAATGAACATCAAGACCAGCACAAAAGCAGGTCACGAAAAAAAAATGTATTTGCCGGACCTTAATATTTCTATATTCACTAAATCACAAAGACTCAAATGCCAAAGTATTATGGTGCAATATAGTGTCTGCATTTTATAAACAGTGTTTAGAAATTATGTTTTTTTGGACCACCTGAAACAACCATGAGATACCCCTCATCAGCATGAGCAACAAAACATCACGAAAGCTATGTAAAACGGTTGAAGAGATATCCAATTTTATTCAATCTTAAAATAATAAAGGGGGGTGATAAAAAAAAAAAGCCATTTACAATTCCCTGTAAGTGACTCGCAGCTGCGCCCGTTAGAGCGCAGCTCTTGAGGAGGAAGATGGAAGTGTACTGAGGGATAGGTGACTCTTTGAGGTCACGTGACCTAAGGGGGCTCGTGTGACGTCAGGGGGGTCACATGACCTCGGGGGTCGCGTGACTTCAGGGGGGTCACGTGAACTCGGGGGTCACGTGTCCCCAAGAGGGTCACGTGACCTCAGGGGGGTCACATGGTGTCAGTGGGGTCACATGGCCTCAGTGGGGTCACGTGGCCTCAGTGGGGTCACGTGGCCTCAGTGGGGTCACGTGGCCTCAGTGGGGTCACGTGGCCTCAGGGGGTCACGTGGCCTCAGGGGGTCACGTGGCCTCAGGGGGTCACGTGGCCTCAGGGGGTCACGTGGCCTCAGGGGGTTACGTGATCTGAGGCGGGTCAAGTGACCTGAGCGGGGACACGTAACCTGAGGGGGTCACGTGACTTCAGGGGGTCACGTGACCTCAGGGGGGCACGTGACCTCAGGGGGGCACGTGACCTCAGGGGGTCACGTGACCTCAGTGGGGTCACGTGGCCTGAGGGGGTCACGTGGCCTCAGGGGGTTACGTGATCTGAGGCGGGTCAAGTGACCTGAGGGGGGGACACTTGACCTGAGGGGGGTCACGTGACCTGAGGGGGGTCACGTGACCTGAGGGGGGTCACGTGACCTGAGGGGGGGTCACGTGACCTCGCGGTTACGCCGACGCCGCTCAAGCCGGAAACGGGCCCCTAAGAGCTGCGCTCTAAAAACATTTGAGTCACTTATTGGTGATCTTGTATTAGTTGTAAGCCACAACATCACACGATAGCGGTACAGTTTTGGTTCCAAAGAGATCCGGGTCTTCCGCCATTTTGTAACCACCGTAACTATGCTGCTAGACCATGCGTAGCTGGCATTCAATGTGGAACCCTATTGTGAATTACAATTATAATAAAACATGAAGTAAAGCAATAAAAAAGTTCAAACCCCACGAGGATTTACACTTAGAACTTTGCAAAGTCTGTAGCAAGGAGGGACGCACACGCGTGACTATCAGTGCATCCCTTTTGGGTGGCGTATTCTTGTGGGTGTAGCCATAGGACGTAATGTTTTTGTATTTCTCACAAACGGGGGTCGTAACCTTTTTTATAAATTTTCCTTTACCGCAATCTTCTTTGGCGGTAACTTGACACGCCACTCTTCAAAGGTGATTCGTTTTGCTCAGTATATTTCCAGCACTCTCGTCTTTTTTCTGCATGCAGATCGGCACATTCTGGTTAAAGCGAGAACACATTCGCGGCTCGTCATTTGACAACTGCGGTCGGGACGCGGCTTGACCAATTGGAGCTGCAAATGATTTCCTCCCAAACTCTCCTCTGTAGCACGACATACGGTAGCACAAACCTACGCTAAGGGCGTAAGGCCCGAAACCTAAAAGCCAACCGGGCTGTAATAGGCAATGCTAGAGCGGCTAGAGGTCAATGAGGTCGCCAATCTTACAATTATCCGAGCATAATATCAGACGCCAGAGGTCATCAGTCAACTCGCGCGCATGATATCATTAAGGCGCCGCTGCTGGGGCGATATCCGATGCTCTGGCTTCGCCCATCAAGTTCAGTCTACGTCGTCGCCATCTTGCGCAGACAACAAAAATTTCCCATTGATTCCTTAGTGCGACGTATTTGTAGAATACAGGGGGAGGCACCCCAGGAAACCGAAAATACATGCTTTGCTAATAAATGAATGTGGACAATCAAACGATTGTCCACACTCTTTAAAAAAATGTTATAGTTTAAACAAAATTGTTTTGTGCACATGGTGGCAGCGAATAACCGAGTTTGGTTATTCACACAACACTAAATGCTAGACATCAACTAGCTTTTATCACAAATTTAGGACTATGTGGCAAAAAAAGTCCTTATGCTCTGCACTTCCCAGTTGAAGCCAATACATATGACAATGTTCTATTTCAGTTGGTCTTAAATCTAAACTCATCCACATAAAAACATGGCACCGTTATTATACAACATGCAAATGGTAGACAAGGCATTTTTTTGTGTCCCTTGTCTACTTTTGCGTTCGCATACCAAGATGTTTAACCAACACGCTCTCACAATTCTATGTAATAAAGGAATATTTTCAATAAGACATGCCTGAGGTGGAAGATGCAACACAGCAGGCAGGTTTGTCCTTCTGAAATGAGTGAAACTGCCTGTGACATTCTGCTTGTTGACCAGACCCTCCATTCCCAATACCAGGTTGTCCTTCATTAACCAGCTGAAACCCTAATCAACATTACTCCAAAACTATTGTGAATATCCACCATTAAACAAGTTAGCCAGGAAGGTGTCCTAGATGTACCAAATGACTCCAGTGGGGAAAATATGAAGACTTGAGCAGGAATTCCTAAACATGTTAGCTTCACAAAAATTTTAACTACCGTATAAACTGGAATATAAGTCGAACCGGAATATAGGTCGGCCCCCTAATCTACAAGTTGCGAAAAGCGAAAAAAACGTTTTTATGGCAAGGAAATGCAACCTTACCTTGGGTAACAAAATTGGCCAAGTATATGGAAGGACGAGAAAACAAGGCACATTTATTTAATCGCTTCGCACACAAAACAGGAAGTGCGCGAGCGTTACTACTCGGACTCTTCAGAACCTTCGTCCGACGAGTTCACTAAGGCAATTCAAAAAGACGATGCCATTCCTTTGAATTGCGCCCTCGAGAGCCCGGAGGCACGAGCGAAGTCGACAGCTTTCTTACAAATGCATTCTCATGTCACAGGTAGGGATCTGGCATGCAGATCCCGAATAAAATTTGCCACCTTTGTTTCCAATTTAGGGTACACAGCAGTCCTTCCACAAAATGGAGTTTTCTTCGCCTTGCTGCAAGCTGCCAGTTTTTGTCTCTGGCCTCGTCAGTAGCCTACGCCTTTCTCCGATATACCAAACTCTCGTTGCGCTGCATGATTCCCGTGGATCTCTGCATAAGCGATTGCCTTCTTGAAGGCTACCGTGAACTGTCTTCTACTTTTGCTTTTTATCACTCCGGGAGCGGCAACGGTAGATGTAACACACCAAGGAGCACAAGTGAAACTGAATTGTGACCATCATAACAAGTGAACGAGTGCCAGGCAATTGCAAAGAAAATCAAGACGGCGGCTTCAGCCCCTTAGTGTTGCGAGATTATTTTTGTTTTTCCGCTAATGAGCATTATAAAAGACAAGGGACGTCTTTTTCAGGTCCATTTTCAAAAATAAATTCCACCTATATTCCAGTTTATACGGTAGCTTCATAGCTGATATACTACAACAAAATCACTTTCAGTTCAAAATTAATACTCTTCCATTGTTTCATTTCTTCCTTAAAGCACCTTTAACTTCACAGTTGCAAGTCGCAACTGTTGCGCAACAGCTTATTGTCACAAAAGCGACCGGTTCAATGCAGTCGCTTCCAGTCCAATTTTTTTAACCGGTCGCCCGGCAGCTGAACCATCCAGGGAAGCCTCTGAAGTGACATGTGATGCGCCTCACATTTGTTCATATCCAGCACGCACTTCTGCGGGAAAAGCAACCAACATGTCTGTCCAATGCCTCGACAGCCTCGGTTGGCCTCGTTTTGCGAGGCAGCTGTCACAGATACAAAGCAATGGAGGTCTCTACAGCTGCTCTAATCGGCGCTATTAAAGAATTGCCCATTTCTTTATAAAAGCAGCACCCCAACTTGAACGAAAGCCCCAAAAATAAATTGGCTCGGCAGCGAATTTGTGCCACTTTTAGCTCGACATATTGTGCCGCGGTAGCTCGAGCGAGTGCACATCAATGTAGCGATTCTGCTTCATTGTACGGTACCGGACCCGGGCCAACAAAATGAGTCTTTTTCATCTGGTGACAATGATGCACGTGCAATTGTGGGACAACGAAAAAGGAAAGCAGTGAAACGCGAACCCAAGCCGTGGCAGGGAGAATGGAATCGAAGGCCGGTCCCGAGAGTTTTCGAGAAGCAACTCGCCGATCGTCCACAGTGTGAGCATTGGCGATCACAAGTTTGTACCTTGCTAGTTGGTCACACGACTGCTGCGAGTCGCAAGTGCAAATGCGCCTCTATCCCCACTCCCCATGCCTTTCCTATGCAGAAAGGAAGAAAGGTTTCTTTGTGGGACAAAAACAGAAATTTGAGGAAGGTTTTTTTTCTTTGCTGTTGTAAGTTGGTCTCTAAAAAAACTGCTTGAACATTTCTAATGTTGAAGAACACACGTCAATGTGCTATCAAAACACCTCATTGAACTATAGAGTGCAATCTCTCATTATCATTGTAAGTAGGGTGCACTATAGTCACTGACAGAGTGAGAACGTCGGGGCGTGTCTTTCAAATGCCCAGCTTCCAACACGCACTTCGTGCCCAGCACCCGCTGCACGCAAGTGCTCGAGGTGCACAAGACGCCGAAGCACCGCCAAAGGTAGGGAGCTTGCGCTGGAGGCGGGACAACTGAAGCACCTCCCTGCCATTCTCACCTTGTCGGCGACTATAACAGTTCAGTGCCCAACTGCCTGAATGCCCAAAGGCTTAGGAAAGACAGCCGAAAGTGCTTACCCCTCTGTCCACACAGCCGCAGAGTGTGAGGAGTCTTTCCTGCCGCTTGTTTTCCTTGTACAGTTTGGTGTACTCGTCAGCCGCAGCATTCAGCCTGGCAATGAGCTCCTTTACCTTGTCCTCGAGCTCAGTGGCAGCGCAAGTGCTCAGCACAACATTGTTGTTCACCTCATGGGGGTGGGGTGAAGGTAGAAACCATATATGATATCACCATTCTCGAAAAAGGGCATCTTAAAGGGAAACTGAGCCTTTAAGAAGCAAAGCTTTTAAACCATCAAGGATATAAGGAATGGTGTGCATAAACATTCTTTAACAATGTTAGACCAGAAATATATATATATATATATATATATATATATATATATATATATATATATATATATATATATATATATATATATAAGTCAGAGATCCGTACTTGCGGAGTTGCTATGCTAGGAGTTTATTGCATGTCCTGACGAAGCCGAGCCTCTCGGCGAAACTGTCGAAATACATGCAATAAACTCCTAGCATAGCAACTCCGCAAGTACGGATCTCTGACTTATTACATTTTCCCGGTCCATTGTTCTCAAGCTACTCTGCCTCACCTATATATATATATATATATATATATGTATATATATATATATATATACAGTGAAACCCGTTTAGAACGAACCCACCTACAGCGAATTATTGTCGATATCGAACTCACGGAAAATTTAAATAAATATGCATGGAAAAAGTACTTTTTGTAATGAACAACATATTGGCTATATCTAACTTTTTCCCCCCATAAAGACTTCCAAAAACACCACAAACAATCCTTTTCTAATCATTCCCTTCCCACCTTCCTCCCCCCAAAAAGTAGGAAAGAAAAAAAAAAGTTCCAAAAGCTGAAGTTGCAAACAAAAATGAGCAATGAAAAGCAATTCCAAAGGGGCACAGAAAAAAAATTCAGAGTAAAGCGGTTGCTTACGAAGGGAAGCGATTTAGAAGGGGAGATAAACTAAGAAAACTCTGCAGGCATGCACAGAAAATTCAATAAATTAATTTCTTGAGTGGTAAGTGGCACGAGATTATTTGTTTATTTTTGGCGATACGACCCGTGTATAACGAATGCATCGTGGACGTTCGCTGTAAAGGTTTTTTGCTATATCGAACTACTTGCTAAATCGAACTGATCATAGCGTTTCCTGCTGTTCGTTATAAACGGGTTTCACTGTATGTATGTATGTATATATATATATATATATTTTTTTTAGCAAGACAATAGACTCTATGCGAAATTGCTTGGTAATCTGACAACACTGAGAACGTTGCCATTTTAATGTTGGCGAGCGTCGTCAGTACCGAAGCACAGTGGAGGCATCGGAGACTGTACGGCAGCTGTGTTTTCTGCCTTCCAACCATGCAAGGTAGACAAACAGTTTAAACAACCTACTGCAACCGTTTGATGAAACTCCTGGAGGCCTGTGCATGCTGCCGACAACCCGCAGTTCGTAAACTTCCACAGCGAAGGCGTAGGACTTGCTCCGCTGCTTCGACGAGGCAGTCGCCAGCGTGCACAGGCCTCCGAGAGTTTTGTCAGACAGTTGCGGTAGGTTGTTTAAACTGTTGGTCCACATTCCATGGTCGGAAGGCGCAAAACACAGTTGCTGTGCTATCACACACTACCCGTATGGTTGTCTGATGTCTCCATCGTGTTTCGGTACCGATGGCGCTAGCCAACGTTAAAGGGATACTGAACCGAAATTTAGAGCTCACAAAACAAGGCTGGACGGATAGGCGGGACACTGCAAAGACCAAAAACATTGCCCATACAGCGATATCTCTAACGAATCACCATATTTTTGGAAAAGAAGTGAGCAACTGAACATGGTCGACGAGGCCGGCGAGACAAGGCACGTCACGATTCCCATTCCCTCTACTCCCCGCTATGTCCCGTCGAGCTGCTAAACCGAAGCGAGGAGGAGAGATGCGAGGCCGCTTCCCCTCATTTTAAAATTCTTCTGGAGGACAATGACGTCAAAGACCTCACTTGACTGCGCTCTTTTTCAAAAGTATGGTCATCCATTTGAGATATCGATGTACAAGTGATGTTTTCGAGTTTGTAGCGTCCTGTTCAACACTTCTGTGGCCTTATTTTGCAAAATCCAAATTTCGGTTTAGTATCCTTTTAGGGGGGGTGATCGGAATGAAATTTGCAGGGGAGATTTAACGTCAGATGTAGGTATACTGTGCAAACTTTCAGCTCTCTAGGGCAACTTTAGATACCTGCATAAGAAGATGTGTCACTCTTCGTTAAGAAATCCATGATATGCAAATGAACCGATTAAGCACCATTTTGACTGCTTGAATATAGAGTGGGGGATGTCGGATTTCAGGCTATCTAGTTTTAATAACTCAAATGTAAATATTTCAGGAAGAGTTATTACCTCAAAATACGAGATGCATATCTGTCCCACATAAATTCTTGAAAACATAGTATTTTCTTGAAGAGGAGTTCGACTTAAAACAAAATAAAGTAAATAGCCCGATTCCCCAGTAAATTTCAGTTCAGAAACATCTTGATTCTGGGTTCAGAATACTTTTACCTTCAAACAAAACATTCCTTCGTATGAAATTTGCAGCAAAAAGTGGAACTGAGAAAAATGCATTCAATGTGTTGGAAATGTTTTATATCAATGTAACCATTTGGTGTATGGTTATCAAATTTAGTGTAAGAGTGTATAATTAGTTTCAAAAACCAAAAACCTAAAAATTAAAAAAAAGTTTTTTTTTTTTTAATTTAAATTTAGTTTAATGTCTCTCCTTAAAGGGAAACTCCGCTTCATTCTCGGTTGTTACCAAACACTGCGACTCTCTTTAGTGTCATCTAGAGAGACCGAATGTCAAATATAACGTAATACCGCCTAAAAGATCACTAAACCGGCCGACAAAAACTGAGACGCGCGAAGTCACCAAAATCCGCTAATTTAGCGGGCGACGTGCGGCGCAGCCAACTTTGTATTTCCGTTGTGGCTGACGTCTGTTGCATACGCAGTTTTTTTTCTTGGTATTTTCTTTTCCAGGGAGAGCTTACCGGGCGGCGCTACGGACGCGCTCCACGTTTGAGCAAGCAAAGAGGCGAGCCTACTACAATAAAGATCAGTAGGCGAGACAGACAAAAAAAAAAAGAAATGAACGAGAACAAGAGAAACTAGGGAGCCTTCATGTGCACTAAGAGAAACAAAAAGAGGAAGAGAGAGTTGTACGGGATGAGTTTCCCTGACACACCTGCCAACCGGTGCCAACCGACTAGCCGCCTGGGTTGCCGCCTACATAGCCTGCTTCGTTGCTGCTTGCGTTGCCTGTTCGCCGCCGCGGCTAGGCCCGCCCTCCCTCCTCGCCCTTCCCCTCGCATCCGCGTCTTTCTTGGGTTACCGCTAGTAGATCACATGACCCCTTGTATTCCACAAGTACAATGCTGCCCGGCTGTGCCGAAGTTTCAGTTTCGGTTCGCGATTGTGGTAAATAACAAGATCGCACGAAAAATATTTTGCTTTTAATGAGTCAAACGGTCTAGGGTTGTTTTGAAGTACTTTTCACGTTTATATCACCCACTATCTCAAAATTTCCGAAATCAAGCGGAATTGCCTTTTAAAATGGCAATGTTTTCAGTGTTGTCAGACCACCAAGCAATTAGGCAAGGCAAAAAGAATGTGCAGATTTTTTTCAACCCACAAGTTTCCTCCTTTAGCAATAATTTAGTTTTCAGCACCATGTTCAATCGTCAAATAATAACACGCATAAGGGACATGTTAAGAGTAATTTTGATTACGTGTCACCCAGTTTAGTTTAAAAACAAAAATCAAAAGTCACCTTTTTTATAATGGCTGCTAAGAAAGAAAAAGTGTTAAATATACGGCCAAAACAAATTTTAAAACCTACCTCATTGTCAAATGCTTCTTCCTCATCGCTGGTGCCAACTGTAGCATCGGCAACCTAGAATGCAATTATCATAAAGCCTTAATGTGATGTTGTGAACACCACTTTATATACGCTCCGTGCGGGAACTATGGGGGGCGCTTTGAAAAACGCGCGTAGTGCCGCTAGCGGAGTAGCTGACATTCGACAGTGAGGCGCACTCAGCAGCCTGCGGCGCCTTTCCGCGTGTGAAGCTGTGGACGCAGCAGTTCATGCTGTCAACCCAGCGCAACCACACCGCTTCGACTTCAATGCGTACCAATGTATGTGGCGTGGTTTCGTTCCGCTGGGGCTCTCACTGCATACCTTCGGTAACGGCCGCACGGCGGCGGGCTGGTTGCGTCGCACGGAGTGTATACTATGGTGCCCAGAACGTGTCTCCAGACGGCGTGTTTACCGCATCCCAAAAAAGCTGTCCCTCGATTTCCTACCGATGACGTCATAGAAGAGTTACGTTGCCGTTGGCCACGGTCTTGGTAAAGTCAGAGAAGTGGAGGTGGATCTGGCAGACTCCTGTCTAGCTACAGGTTGCTCTTCGGCTTGGCAGTCCACGGACACATCGGTTGCTGGGAGTTAGGACTATGCGACGACGGCGACACTCTCACTCGCTCATACCTTTTGCCTGGACGTATAGCGACAACCAAAAGCATCGAGACACGCCAAGTTCTGCGACGTCGTTTGTTGCCACATCGAGACCGCTTTCAAAGTACAGGAGGGATAGGATGCTGAACACACCGGTCGAAGACACGTTACCGGCACCCTACTTTATAACCCTGGATCTCACAAATGTTGGTCTAACACAGAGCACTGCATAGGCCAGAATATCCAGACCCAGCCTGAACCGTCCTGCACTACCCCACTAGAGACAAGGCCCTAGCCCAGCCAGACAGGTTTTCCAAACATAACCCCAAGCAGCTGTTCCTGCAATGACTATCCAACGACGTCCAGATAATTAAGTTGCCCGATTGCCTTGCCTTTCCTCTGGCTACCACCATGGAACATCACATAGATCAATTGAAGGAAATGGTAGCCTATCCGCCCTCTTCAATAGCCACCACAGAGTAGAAACGACCTGCCAGCTCGCCGAAGCAGCGGGTCTAAAAGGCCAGCTGAATAACAGTGTTGGTATAATCGTGTGTTTAGCCCCCCCCCCCCCCGCAAGGAAACACACTTGTTTTGCGCCGAAAAAACCAACGCCAGCTACTACAATCGTCCTTGCCCATTCTTTCCTCCAGGTAAGGACACAAGGGTGCGTTTTTTAGCTGATACCAGTGTCATTTGTCAGTGTTGCCTCCAAGAACCAAAGATTGTTGGACCTGGTAACCCTCATGACTTAGGGCAGCCAAGAGCACCATCATTCTAATTTAAAAACTCCATGCCCTCATGATCACTTTAAGTCTGTGTCAACCTTTTCGCTGCATCTTCGTCATCACCGATTCCTAATATCCAATCTTCGAAGCACATCTTGTTCAACACTTCTGTAGTAATCTTTATTAGCGATAGATGGCGCCAGTCGCCATCTTCTTGTGTTATTTTGTTTATTTAAAAGATGGCGCCATGTTTCCTTTTATTTTTTATTACTGGCGCCACCTGGGTTTTCCTGTCAATAAACTGGGGCTCACGAGTTTTCGTGAGCAGTCGTTACCAGCCCACGCCCGGGATCAGACGTGTCTTTCTTTCGTCTGGATCTTCTGAAACCTCCTGTCTCTGATGGCCACGCCGGCCCGGAGTCCAGCGACGATGGGGACAGCCGGGTCCTCCGAACCGTAAGCCGCTCGCCGGCGCGTCGACCATCACCTCTTTCTTTGTAGTTTAGTTATAGCGCGGGCAGTTAATACTCGGCACTCGTTCCACCCAGTGTTCCACCTTCTGCGCTGTCTCGGGACTAGGCCCCCGAGCACGCAGGGGGCTGTAGTCAGCATTCACACCCAGCGTACAAGTCAAGTCTTCTCTCTTTGTAAAATATTAAAACTTCATTCTTTTTGTCAACATCTGGAGCCGTCGTCTCATTGATAGCACTGTGCTCCTTTCAGCCTCGGGAATTTACACAAAACTAAAATCAATCGGACTTGCTCCATTACCTGCCTAGCCAAATTCACCCTACATTGCCATCATGCAGGAGTTGCCCTCTTTCACACGTCTCTGTACGTTTCCCAGCAAGAAGCAGAACATTCAACACTACATTGAGGCGTGTGGATATCTTGAATATACATGTCCTTGAACACTGTCTACTTCTTTAATTACTTTGTGCAGACAGGTTTTTCTTTTTTCATGGCATAGCAGAGTGCTTGCTACTGGTTAAGACAATGTTTTCTACTGCGTCTTTTTTTCTAATTGTTTTAAGGTCTGCCTGGTCCCACGGACAAGCATTTACTACTTTTGTGGGCCGATTTCTGTATGTGCTTTAAATAAATTAAACATAATTATTATTATTACCCAAAATTACCAGACCACCAAGGCGGCGTTCGAACATATAATCCTTGTAGTGGCCCGCACTAATCATATGTGAAAGAACTTTGTCGATTTTTATTTGCTTTTGCTTTTTAGCTCACAACACAAGCAACATGCAGAACACTGACGCTCTTGCAGCCACGTGATTAAACAGTTGGATCCGAGATATCATAGTTGTTTGACATTCTTTATAAAACTGGTGACCCAGAGCTCGAAGGGCAAATGTTGGCTCGATCGCAAACATGGATCTCGGCAATGCCTCTTTCAACAATGGCACAGTGGCAGCCTCCCAACGACTCCGCTCTTGTTATGAGGAAACTTTATCTTCCAACGGTTTGGCCCGAAATCGTGAACGTCTAGTTTACACAGACCAAAGCCCCCTTCTAAGTGAGGCAGATCACATTACAAACAATATGTTTCTACCAAATTGTTGCCTCTTTACTTCCGCAGAGTGCAGCCCCAGCTAGAAAAGGCACTGCATCTACAGCCAGCCAAAAGACACCTGCAATCAGCTTAAATGAGTGCTGCTAGCCCGGATGACTGTGTAAGAAGTGTCCCACATACAGCAGCTCATCACCGCCAAAGAGCATGGAAATCGTCGCCCGGCGTAGTTTATTCACAGCATAAAACAGTTGCTGGAAACGGAAGCTTACAAAGCATGGAGTTCCGTTCTGCACAAGCTTTTTCTTCCAGAAGCTTCCACAAGGAATGTGCAAGACCCTGATCGTGGCAGACACCATGCCCTTAGGCCGGCCAGCTGTGCCTGCCGATTGCATTGCAGAACGTTCCTCACTGACTGCAAGTGCTGTCGCATCACCGGACTCCACCTCTTGGGACGCACGAGCGTTGAGCATTAAAGACCTGCTTAACCATGACCACTTGAGCCACGCCACGCCATGAGGTCACCCTCGCAGAATACCCGGGGCTGACGAAGCCCGGCATCTTTTAACTTCCTGCCAAGCACGGAGCCACGTATCGCACGTTGACATTGTTGTACCCCTCCTATCATCTCGGGTTCAAAATCTTTTGACACGAGTTGATCAATACACTATGTGGCCTTAAGAACTGGCCGGCGTCTCTGCCGGAACTGTTGCAAGGACATTCGCATTGACTGACCATCTATCGTAACAACGGGACAGACAAGAGATGTTAGTTCCAGTGCTCCTTGTTTACTGCTCCGACACTCCGGACGCAGCATGTTCCCTCCACCGTGTACCACCCATCTGCAAATGGCACAATGGAGCGTTTACACGCGCAGCTCAAAGTGGCGATCGAGGCACAGGGCGGGCATCTTCATTAGGTCAACCGCTTGCTTCTTGCCCCCCCCTGCCCGGCATTCAGACCGTATTCAAACAAGACTCGAACCATGGCTACTCAGTATTTGTGTATGGTACGCCACTATGTTTGCCTGGAGACTTTTTCAAGGTACTAGAGATATCTGCATTCCATTGCATTCTTCAATGGGCTACGAACAACGCATTCTTCACTGCGCTACGAACGATGGTCAAGTTCTGCGACTACCACTTGACCGACGTCGAAGAGCGGCTCATCCAAAACCGTTTTCTTGTGGACTTGATCGAGCGCAAGCTCTCGAATCAGCTCCGTCAAAATCCGCGAGTGACGTTGCACGAAGCGCTCACGCACAATTGCCAACACGAAGATGCTGATAATGAGCGCAAGGCTTGTGACTCGGCCGATTCGTTGCCGCTCGCCATTGACGCCACTCGCCTCTGCAAGAGAAAGCCAGCACCAGCTGATAAACCAACGCAGCTGTGCCCTTTCTGCGGGCACGCACCACACCCTTGCGCTGACTGTCCGGCTCGTGGACTGGTTGTCATCCCCAAGATCTCGGGAGGCTACCGGCTCTGCGTGGATTTGACTCGCCTTAACAAGGTGGTTCTTCGGGAGCGTCATGTGCTTCCTACCGTGGAACAATGCCTCGGTGTCCGTCGTCTACTGGGACTTGTGAATCACATCAAGCACTTTAACCCCACGTTTTGGAAGTGAGTGCATCGATCCGAGCCTTGCTGCTCAAGAACTCGCCTTGAACTTGGGGCCATGCACAGCAGTCTGCCTGCTCCTAACTGAAGAAGCTGCTGTGCTCAGACGTGTGCGTGGCTCATTACCACACCGCGCACAAGACCACGAACTGGGCCGAAGCCAGTTCCTTTGGACTTTGCGCAGTACTCTTTCAAGAGCAGCCATCCGGTGCCTGTCAGGCCATCGCTTTCACATCACGCTCCCTCACACCCACGGAACGCCCGCACAGCCACGGTACAGCCAAATGGAAAAAGAAGCTTTGGCGGTCACGGGGCGGTGCAGGGGTTCAAGGAGTATGTTCAATGACTTCAATTTTTCCTCGAGACGGACCATCAACCTCTGGTGGTGCTCTTGAGGTCGATGGTAGTTGACCTGCTGCCACCACGGATCCAGTGGTTTTGCTTGAAGCTGATGAGTTCCCAGTACCAAATATTCTTTGTACCGGGTAAGCTGTTGGCAACCGCCAAAAAGCTCTCGCGCGCACTGCTGGATTCCTTGTTTGTCCAGCCCGGTGGATCCAGTCGAGCTCTTCGTTCAAGAGGTTGTCCGTTCCCTCCCAGGCATCGTCTCATCGCAGCTCGAGCACCTGCGCCAGGCCCAAGCCAATGACGGCCAGTGCAGTCTGCGGGTTCAGTACTGCGCCAACGGCTGGCCACGACAGTCTCACTTGCCTCTCCAAGTCAAGAGGTACTGGCAGTACCAGGGGGATTTCAGCGGCTGCAAAGGATCGCTTCTGAAGGGGTCACGCATCGTCGTGCCGTCTGCCCTTCAGCACCGCATGCTGGAGCTCATTCACGTTGGGCATCAGGGCATCAACCGATGCAAATCGCTCGGGAGTCGGTCTAGTGGCCGGGTATCAACAACCAGATAGACACACTGGTGTCCAACTGCCCCATGTGTGCTGAAACCAGAGTGCAGCGCTCGGAGCTCATGCTGCTGTCAACGACTCCAAGTCTACCTTGGGAAGAGATGGGAGTAGATCTCTTCCATCTGAATGGCCAGGAATATATTCTTCTGGTGGATTACCGGTCACACTTCCCGGAAATCATCAGCCTGCGCTCGACGAGAGCACCTGCTGTCATCAATGTCATCAAGAGCGTCTTCGCGCTTCGGGATCTCAAGTCTGGTGCGCAGCGACAACAGGCCTCAGTTTGCTGCGAGAGAATTCACTGCCTTCGCCAAGTCCTACGGCTTCCGCCACGTCACAAGCAGCCACCGTTTTCCACAGGGATGATGAGGACGGTCAAGGACCTGTTGCGGAAGGTGGATGATCCCTACCTGGCATTTTTGGTATACCGGGACACCCCGGGCGTAAATGGAGTAAGCCCTGCTTAGTTGCTCATGGGCAGGCGCCTGCAGACTCGGGTACTAAAGACGTCGCACCAGCTGGAGGCAGACTGGCCCCCGTCAGTCCCCTTCACTCAGCGTGACCAAGCCAACAGGAGACGGCAAGCATCGAACATCAACCGGAGGCATGTGGCTCGTGCACTTAAAGCCCGTTCACACGATGCATTGTTCTCGCGTATCTATTGTCGCGAAACGTAGTTTCGCGAGGAAAATGCATCGTGTGAACGAGCCTTTAGGCCTCTCCAGGCCGGCGAGCAGGTCTGGGTATGGGACGCCAACTGTCCTGCAACTGTCATGGGGCCAGCTCAATGCCTCCGCTCATATGTAGTCGAGACGCCGACGGGCGTACTCCAGCACAACCGGATGCACCTAGTGCCAACGACGGGAAGTCCTGCAGAACGCACCACCAGCCCATCTGGCAGCCCCACGGCAACACAGGCAGCCATGCCCACAACACCTGGAGCAGCTCAAAAGGCCCAAGACCAGAAAACCGCATCGCCTCAGGAAAGCTCCTCAACTTAACTGGACAGGCATTCCGCGGCTCTACTTCTGCTTTTACGCCCCGGGTCTCGAGGTTCGGCAGAAGGATCCACAGGCCGAGAAGGCTAGACTTTTGAATGTTTTCTTTTGGAGCAAGGGTTCCTCTGTTTTGTTGTTTTGTTTTACTGAAGGGAGGATGTAGTGTAGTGTACCGGTGTACCACTGGATGGCACCACTGCATTTACCACGATAAAGGAGGCTGAATAAACCTTGAGGGGCACTTCCCCGCTTAGAGAGTCAGCAGCCGTGACATTCACTCGATACAGCAGACACAGTTAAATCGTGAGAGTGACACCGTCTTCGTCGGGGTGCTTAACGCGGGCAGGATGCCATGTTTAACAACTACCACCGAGCCCTAGATTGCTCCTGGCATTTCTCTATCTCGCGAGAAGACAGAAAAACTACACCGAAACCAAAGCCCTAATTCTTTGGCTATCCATGAAACGGCACAGCACATTTAAACATGCCAAATACTGAGTCTGGCGGTGCATGGAAACAATTCCATGTGATCAATGGTCTATGATTGTGGTAACTAAAGAGTTAAACAAATTATAGAGCACTATGTATGCATGCAAATGCTTTCCTTAAATGTTTAGAAAAAATCTTTTCCTGAAAATCACATGCATCCAATATGAAAATGTTCAAATAAACCAAAGCCAGCCTCCGAAACAATGCTATGGATCAATTCTCGAAAACTCCAACTCAGATGTAACCTCTTCCACATTGCTAGTGGATTACTAGCGGTGGAGGTCAACAGCAGGTTAAAAGGTGAAGCTGCATTTCAGGAAAATTTTTTCATTGTTTACTTTGGCATAATCAATGTTACCAGACATACACTTAGTAAGCCTCTTCTAAACAAGCAATTAGAAAAAGAAAGGCAACAATGATGCATTTCAACTCACCAGTGGTTTCAGACAAAGTCTCTCAACCTCTTCCCTAAGTAAGCCATTCTCAGCCATCACTTCGGAAAGCTTTTCTGAACACTGCAAACAGAGAGCATCAGTGGCAAATGCAAGGCAAGTAAAAGAGTCAATGTAATTTGTGTTCATCATTCATTCTTGATAAAATTTTGCTATAACATTTTCAAAGATTGCCCAGTCGAGTAAAATTTTTTTTAACATTTATCTCATCACCATAAGTGACCTTTGAATCAAAACCTTACGATATTTCACCGCTAGACTCAATTAGGTGGGGTTAGCCCTGCTCTAGGCCCCGCCCATAATGAAAGGTGTTTAGCTGGCTAAGCACCGTTTCCTAGCTCTCATTGGTGGAGAGATTATTGACGTGTGAAATGTTAGTTCTAAAACTGTTTCTTCGTGCCGTAATAGTATTTTTATGAACAACATCTTTTTAATATTTGAAAAACAAATAATCTAGATAGAGCTATTATTGTTGTCAAAAACATCCCGAGATTGCCTTTCATGCTTTGGTTACAACAATAACAAACATGCTGCCGGCATTTGCGGCGTGCTCAATGAGCTCGTTTATTTTTATGAGTGTAGGTTGTTTTGCATTCTCCGAGGTGTTTCGAAGAAGATCTCCCCAACCAACCTAGTTTTCAGCAAACAACTGTCGCAAGAATGCGCCATCGGAAGCGTAGTGCGGGTAGTAAAGATGCTGGTTTCCAAAAAAGCGGCCCGACTGCTCTATGAATCGTGCAACCATCGTGATTGCGACCATGATTTTAAAACTGAGAAGATACCTACACAGGTAAGAAATTGCAAGCCATTTGGCTGGAGGCAATGGGGCATTCACCTCACATCAAGATTGTCCAGTATGTTCCCGTAATTTCTTTTCGAAAGGAAGTAGCTCTCAAGTTCTACAGTGCAACTAGCCTGGCAAAGCAAATATTTTGCGGTTTCCTTTTAATTGTGCTTCCATGACACCAACCCTCCTTACTCGCAAATGCCATGCCAAAAAAAAAAACAAGAACAGAGGAGTTGAAAGGACTGTACATTTATTTTGATTGGTTTTAGTTCTCTCGGTCGCCTTTTACCGCATACCAACAGACGCTTGTATTGGACCATGGCTAGTGCATGATGGAAAGCTAGCACGCCACTTTCGTGGTCGCGTCTTGCGAGCGTTGCTGGCGTTTTAGAGGGGTGCGGAATAGCAGACGGACGCAGGCAATAACAGACACAGTCAAGCTGGTTTCATGACTGTGTCTTATGGGCATTGCAGATGATGATAGACGGTGGTGAAATAGCAGTCAATGCCGGAGGCTGCAATGCGTCTGCTCGCACAACTAGCAGGCGGTGTCAGACGCCAGGCTAGACTCGCCAGACATCGCAACAAAGAAACACTAGGCTTACAAGCGTGTTCGGCCGAGCAGCCAAGCCGATCCAGTATTAATGGGCAGGGCCATTGTTCTGTGGGCAGAGCTTAGAGGGGCCGTAACCTCCACCTAAATTGCACCTAACCACGTAAATATTGCGCAAAAAGTTCTGTGGAAAAATTACAAAAAAAGAATATGCGTCCCATCTAAGTCCTACTAAAAAAAATATTCTTTTTTTTTTCATTTGCATATTTTCAAAGTTTTTGTGAGAAGCCTTCAAGGACAGCCAAGAAATAAATACGCAAGACTTAAAAATGTTAGAAAATAATTGATTCACAACATTTAAGGTATGCAGCACCCAATAGGTTGGTATCATTAGCTTTGTGCTTTGCAAAACATTTTGCAGACAGTACCGTATAGTTTGCATTTTCTAGTTTGCATGTTATTGTTTACACTTTAGAAAACTTTCCAGAAAGCTTTAAAAAACAAGCTATCCTTGTATGACAGTGACATTGGACACTCTTGCACAAATCTGGACTAGTTTTCATGGAAAGGCCTGTAGCACAGGCACAAAAATGCTCCATACCTTGCCCTTGCTCTCTTTAAGGGACACTAACTCCGAGTGTAGCAGCAGCTTGGTGCTCTCATGTGCACAGAGCTGTTCCTTTGTGTTTTCATAAGCTTTACTCAACAGTTCACAGTCCTCCTGAAACAGCAAAGCAAACTTATAAAAACAAGTCTCTTTTTCCGTTTTTGTAACCGAAACAGCATCAGTTTGCCCAGCATTAGACAAAAGACAGGATTGAGGGAATTCTTCACTTCCATTTTCGGGAATAAAAATAATGTGCACAAAACACAGAAAGCACCTATAGAATGTGCACGAAATGCTGAAGGAAACTGCGGTCCCGACCATTAAACTCCTGACATTCCCTTGTCTTAAGGTTCTTTTTACACCGGCTAACTGCAATCACAGATTTGAAAAGGGCCTTCCCAGCACAACTCACTTCCAACAGCAGGTGAACTCTAAAGATTGGTATTTAAACCAAAGTTAGAAAATTTCTAGAATTTGCAAGTCTTCACATACGAGGCTTTCAAATTAGTTTACATTTTACACCTTAGAGTCAGCAAAACATTTGACATAAATGCAGCTTAATCTTGTAAAAAAATATGTCCACAGAAACAAAGTAAAAAAAAAAAGAAGATAGAAGGTGGTGCCATGTAATTCTATACACTTTACCAGAAAAAACATAGAAACCTAACTAGAAGTATTCGCAACTCCAGCGCGTCCCTCGCCCTCCCACGGACGAACGGAGAACCAGAGGAGTGGGGACGGCAGCGGCGACGGCGGCACGTAAACTGTGGCAGGGACTGTCCGCCTTGATGCATGAACCCGTTTTAACGAAAAAAGTGAGCATGTTAAAAAAAGGAATTCTTGTGCTCCGCCTTGAAACAGCCTTGCACAAAGGACCGGGAGGTCTAATTTCATTGGGGACTTTTCGTGTACCGCATACACTGCGGATTTCTGGTCTTGTGCATGGCCGCCAGTTAAATCTGTGCTCAAAGTGACGGAAAACGCTCCCGCTAATAATGAAGAACTCTATAGTACTGACTACGGAAAGTCTATTCTTTGCCATAAGTAGGAGAAAACTCGTAGCGCAACGGTATGTCGAGCAATACAAATCGGGAATGGGTTCGCGTTTTAAGGCCATTACAAGTAACATCACCATTTATTCCAAGCACTTTAAAAATACAAGATACCCGTACTTGCTTTCAGGTACATACAAAGCAAATAAAGAACTGCTCGAAGCATTTTAAGCGCATCTGTGTTAGCCAGCCATTCGTGACGAGAGCTTAGAACGTGCAATGTTGGCCAGAGGGACCGCAAGGTTGCAAATAACACGGTACAACAAATGCACGGTACATTAAAATATTTTTTTTTGATAGAGAAATAAATAAAACCCCTAAACACGCCGATTATTTTAAAGGGCAACTCCGCTTCATTTTCGATGCTGCAAAAACAACGCAGTTCTCTTTAGTATCACCTAGAAAGACTACACGTCAAGTTTTACGACGTGATTAAGCCTAAAAGTTTGTTAAACTGGTAAACAAAGTTTGAGATGCCTCAAGTCTCCGAAATCTGCTAATTCTAGCGGCCGATGTGCGGCGCAGAGAACAGCGCAGTCAATACCGCGTGTTGGCGCAGCCAACACTGCGCCGCACGTCATAGTCTGGGACCGCTTTTTTTCTTGTTTTTTACTTTATTGAGGCGCAGCCTACAGGCGGCGCCAGCAGCGTGCATACCGATATCCACGTGATCCAAAACGCGCATGCGCTGATGAGTGTCTGAGCGAGCGCTCCGCGCTCGTCGTCGGGAAGACCGAACCTGCTGCGTCTCGGAGCAACGTTTTGTGCTGCGATGCCTGGCATATTACGAGTGGTTTACTTAACTTCAACTACTAATGTTTCCAAAACATAACTTTAAAACAACTTGCCTTTTTCTGCGTCAAAACACTCTGCGGCCGCGGTAGTGCACACGTCGTTGGATAGCAGAGACCGTGGAGCAGACGACACGGCGCGACGACGCTTGCTCCGCCGATCCGTTCGTCCGCGCGGTCGGCGACGGCGAGGTCGTGCGGTGACGTTCGTACCACGTGGGTTGTCCCAGACTATGACGACGCGGGGCCAATGTTGCCAGGCGCGGGCGCAGTTTCGGTTTCGGTTCGTGATCAGGAGTAAAGAAGGATTACGAGAATTATATTTCCTTTTTTGAGAAACAAACGATGTCGAGCCGTTTATTAGTATACCTTAGTGTATAATCACCAAAAACCCCGAAATTTCTGGAATTGAGCGGAGTTGTCCTTTAATAGGCAGTTTTTGCATAGCATATGACACCCCTAAATGTCAGTTGCACGTACAGTGCACGGACGTTCAACCGGCACTACCAACTTTCACGAGCGGCTTGATAGCCGAGTTGTGCAACTTATTAAAATAGCTTAAGTAAGTGTAAATGACTGTAAAAAAAAGAAAGTAATTGGGGTTTTCTTGGCCCTACTCCAAAACCTCGGTGGTTTTTTTTTCGGTACTCTGATGCATACTTTAGCTGTTTAATATCATATTATGCGCCGTCATCAAGCTTCTCGTAAAAGTTGGGGCCGTCAGTTTGACGTCAGTGGGCTGCATAGCGAACTGAAGTTTTGGAGTGTCGTATACGTGACAAGGAGTGTAAATACTACAACATATTTTTTTTTTTTTTTTTGGTGTGATGAGCACGGTAACGCTTTTTGCGCGCACTGAAAATTGTGCTTCAAAGGCACAGCGCAAGCTAGCGGTTGTAATGCTACACCGCACGGTAGCCTGTGATAATAAACTTTTTGTCAATAACCATAGAGCAGTTACGTGTTGCAATACACTAAAACCGAGACGGTGAGCAGAGATTTGAGAGGCTGTGACGTGAAGACACCGATACTGTGTATTGCTGCTCTTCCGAAGCTTGACGGTCACCGTTCGCGGCTCTCTTTTTAGAGCACTAATGGCCAGACAAAGCGCAAACATATCTTCATCACCCTCAAAATTATTCTGCCACAAACAGTAACGTGGCCGGTGCCTAAAACGCGCTCACTCACCACAAAGCTTCGCACTTTGAGGTTTCTGCAACTTTTAAATAACATCATGCTCGTTTTCCTAACGTGCATCAGCATCTCCGTCACCTGTAATATGACCCCTCCCTAACCGCTTCGCATTTGTAGACAAATAAATCATTTTTAGTGCGCTGAACAGCGTCAGCGAGCCGGCGCACGGGATATCCTGGAGAATATATCCCCGTCTCTTCCGCCAACTTCGAACTACCGCCCTGCCACCGATAGGGCGTTGAAGTTGCGAATAATAAAATAAGTGAGGCCATTCTGTGTGAGACAGGCATCAGAGCTGCTAAAAACAAGAGACATTTCTTAAATATGCTTAGGGGTTGAATTTTTAAAACTCATCTGCACATATAAGGTTGTAACATATGTTGAGAATTGGTAGCATAGTAGGGGCAGCATCGCTAATATGCATAAGCTCAAAATAGTCAGGAAATTCTATTACAGCAGTATGGCACAGATGTACAAGCATAAACTGTGCGACACTGTTAGCATGAACAAATGATTGCCAGTTTTTCTGTCTTTATTCTAGAATTAAAACACTATCACCAAAACTACCATAAAATAAGGAGCATCCTCCCATTCCACAATAAACGCCCACCCCTCAATTTTGTAAGATTCGGAAAATACACAAAGGACGTATCTTTGCGCATTGTTGACCTAAGGAGTGCCCATCCCACAGTCTTATAAGATTATCTCCAAACGTTGAGTGGGCGCTTGCTCAGGATTGGATGGCAGCGTAGTGGACAATGCTTGTTTGGGGGCCCAGCATATGCTATAAAATTTCGTACTCGCCAGCACCTTGTCCGAGTGTCACAGAAACCGGCTGTTCTAGAAACCGACGGGGGTCGTGCTGACGTCTGCGGAAGAATAATGGCCAGGGAAGTAAACGACCGCCTTCGGCGGATGAGCTCGCGGCCAGGCGCGTGTCAGGTTACACAGAGAGCGCTTCGTTGAAGCGACCGCATGTTCGGTGTTTCTTGGTATACACAACCTAGAGTGGTTTTGGGTAGGGATGTCGCGAACCACCCTAGGTTTGATTTCGAAAGGTTTCGATATTTGCGAAGCGAATTGAGGTTCGATTTCGAAAAATTTCGATATTTTCGTAGCGACCGAGGTTCGATTTCGAAAAATTCGCAACTTTTGACCACAGCGGAGTTTCGAATTCGAAAATTTCGAAGCTTTCACGGTTTCCAAAATTTCGAATTCGAATATTTCGACTATTTTTTTACTTCAGGTTCGATAAATTCGAAGATCTCGAAATTCTTTGTAAAAAAAATTCGAAAACTTTGAACGCTTCGAATTTTTATAGACATGAAGTTCGAACAATTCGAAGATTTCGAATTTCTTTTTGCATAAAGTTCGAAAAGTTCAAAGGTTTCGATTCTCTTTTAACGCTAAATTTAAAAAAAAAAAAAATTTTTGAAGATTTTGAATTTCTTTTTAATCCAAGTTTTCAAAGTTCGAAGTCCGATTTTCAAGTTTTTCCACAGTTTCAGTTTCAAATAACGTTTTCACGACTCACTGGTTTTCACGAAATCAAGTTTAGAAAAGTTAGGGTGTGAGATATAGATTCTGCGAAGTTGGTCAGGCAACTAAATGAGACGACGAGTGTCCCGGACGTGCTAGAATATTTGCCAGTGCAAAATTGTGACCGCCAGCCCCGGAGGGGAGGGGGGGGGGGGGGTCTTTAACCTGCATCACGCAGTAGTGATCACACGAACACACTGTTTTACGAGACTCATCCAGTTCGAAAGGGCCAGGGGCGAGCAGGAGGTTGAGGCTCAGAAAAACCTTGAAGCGACCTGGCAAACTAGCTCGCCACCTCTTGCACGCTGGTAGTAATCCGATCCGGTGAAGTTTACAATTGTCCTGGAGGTTTATTTTCTGGGACGGACGAATCGCCTCGCAAAAAGCACAAAAGCCGACACAACTCGAGGTCGAGGAGCGTTCTACCATACAAGTGGCGTCGGAAGAGGAAAAACGGGGGGAAAGAGGGTAGCGGGGGGGGGGGGGGGGGGGGCTTCAGCTTCCTTCTCCCCTTTGCAGGTATTTCGAACTGTTAAAGAAAACAACACGGGGAATGAGGGCGTGGTCGAGCTTATTTTAATCTGAAATTATTTATGCATATGTATAGCTACTGTCGCTCTTCACTGCATAAAAGGTTGCGTAGATGGTCATTGTTAGAAACTCGTTGTCAGAAGGCACTGCTCGTCACATGCTTAGTGGTTCGGAAGTTCAAAGCTGTCTTTTCGACCTAAACACCTGTGCCGATAGTAACAAAAAAAAAAAAAAAAAGAATAAATGCAAAAAAAAAAAGCAGGAGAAAAAAAAAAAAAACTATCAAGAATTCGTCGGAAGTGTTCTATTCTTGCATATTCAGAGGTTCAGAACTTTGAAACAAGTTTCTTTTAGCAAAATGTGTACAGGCTAAAAGAAACACGTCCCAGGAACGTGAAGCGAAAAAAAAAAAAAAGTTTTCTTTTAACGACGTGCTGAACTTGAACACTATTAGAAATCTTCTCCCATGAGTTAATTTATTCCTTAACGTGAAAAAACAATAAATATATTATTTCGTATTCTGCAGATGGCAATGATTTGTACTGTCTGTGGTGTTAATTTAAATGCGATACCTCAAACAACTTAGACGAAAATAAATATCAAGTTTAGGTTATAATTGCATGCAGATACATGTTTGGACATTTCTTCGAAACTCACGTTGAATAACAATAATCACATCTTAAGACGGCACTTACCTAGGCTATACATAGATCATTCTTAAAAAAAGTATAACATATCTACCATAAATAGCTCCGGCTGCAGCGTGCTTCAAATCTGGCACAAACGATAATCGTCAAAAACCCGTCGTCCTTCCTCGCCCCTTCGGGGATTTATTTCTTTAAACCTAAGCATGCCAGAACATTGAAATAAACGACATTGTCTTTCGTAAGGAACGCAGCACCGCGTGTAAAAGTTCGAGAAAAAAAAATTACGAATGTACCCCACTACTTGAAATCAAATGAAACCGTCCGCCGGTCTTTCGAAGTTCGACGAACGTCGAACTTTTACCCTAAAAGTTCGAAGTTCGTCGAACTTCTGACTTTTCAGAATCCGAAAGTTCGAAACTTTTCGAATTCTCTTGATAAATAAGTTTGAAAGTTCGAAATTCATCGAATTTTTTGGTCAGTCAAGTTCGAAAGTTCGACAAGCATCGAACCTTGCAGCGCAATAAATTCGAAAGTTCGAAAAAGATCGAATTTTTTAGCGTAATAAGTTCGACGGTTCGAAAAGCGTCAAACTTCTTAGCTTAACAAGTTCGAAAATTCGACCTCCGTCGAATTTTACGATATAGACAATTCGAAAAATCGAAATCTTTCGAACCTTTCGAAACGCTTGATTCGATCATCGAAACTTCGATTCGAAAAAAGTTCGCGGCATCCCTAGTTTTGGGGGGTACACAGGTCTCTGCAGCCCCAGATTTACGAGGCGAGCTAGCGGCTCGCTGTTTGAATGTGTTTTTCGTCCGCGCTCGAATTGCCTGGCGGGTCTTAGTGTTTAGAAGAACCCTGCTTTAGGGTCAGGGGTCAGACCGAGGGGGCAACAACCTACCGTGGGAACAAAGAGAGTGCGGGAACCGCGGGGTCGCGAGGACTCGCAGTGCGAGAGAGAACTCTAAGGCGGACGGTCGCATCGCGACGTCGAGGAATGCGGCGAGACCCTGTGGACGGCCCCACGCCAGGCACCGGACGAAGCTTCCAGTGAGTGTGCGACCGCAAAAAGTGGGCGTGCGGGGCCAGTGAGCCGCGCCCACGGTGTGCCAAGCCACCCGCCGGAATTTCTCCACCTCGGACGGACCGCGCAGGGAGATGCCAGCACCTCTACGCTAGATGAGACTTTTTCTTTGCACTCACTTATCCTTCTATTTTAGTTTACCATTTGGACTCTCTTAAACTTAGTATTTTTTCTAGTGCTGTCTAGGCAACCCCAAAGCATGAAATTGTAACTGTTATACTGTGCGTACCTGTGCTTCTGCCGTTTGATGTCTATGGGATTTTTGCATATTATATAGCACCTAATTATCTACTCTACCCCTGTCAAATTAAACATCCTTTATATATCTGACACACGCCTCCGCCTCTCTTCATTGGTAAGACTTTCCACCAGAGCATGGCCCTATCGCTCGGTCAGCGGTCCCCTTCTTTCACATCGTTACTCGGGAGGCCTACCGCCTTCCTGTGACACCGAGTACAATGTGAAAAAGCACCAACGTCAGGTTCACAATACCTGTGTCGTGCAGTGTACATAATGAAATGTAACACATACTTCGAGACTTTGATGATCACACTTGAGGATGTCCATTTCTCTGAGAGTAGCAGTCATCTCAGACACCTTGTGAGTCAGTTCTGTCTCCTTCTCTTCATACATGCCCTTGTAGAAAGAAGCCTCCTTCTGCAGATCCTTATTGAGTGCCTAAAGCAGATATATGGTTCATTAAAAGACAAAGCAGATATATAAGGTTCAAAATACTTTTAAAACACAGGGGTGAAAAAGCAGGAACCCTCGTAAACCACGAAAACAGAGGAAAGCTGATGAAATAATAAATTCGAGACCTGGCAAATAAAAAGAAGCTGCTTGTTGCCATTTTTTGTTTCTATTTTCTTGCCAGAAATATGTTACACAGTAGTGTGCTGTTTTATGGCAATTACTGCACCTTTACATATTTTCCCTGACTACACAGAACAAAGATTCCTCACCAGCTCCATACATTTGAGACTGCTTTTATATATTGCATAATTTACAATTGTACATAACTCTACGTGGATCCACACAATGGGCCATGGGGCCCTTGCTACCCTGTTCATTTCCACTCCAATCTGTACCTCAATTTGAACTGCTCTACTGGACATTGAACACCAGAAGTTTGTCCTCTTTGCGACATGCCACGGTAACAAGCTCGCATCAGATTTGTCAAAAAAAAAGTATGAATCTTTCAGAAATAAGGCAATACAATTGGGAAACAAACAAAAATATCCCAAAAGACAATCCACCTGGCATGAAAGCTAAGTGGGGTAGAAAGAGCAGGCGGACTAACGTCAAGAAAAAGACTAAACAAAAATGCTCGACACTGTTTTTTGTACACTCATGCCTACATCAGCTGGCTTATTCCAAGCCATGAGTACCATCTAGAAAAGAAAGAATGAACTTCATTTATTCAATTGCTTGGTAAGGTATCAAATAAGCAGACTCTATGGTTGTCACCACTTCAATTTCTTCCACCCATATCACAAATTGCATGAACCCAGATAAGATGATTTCTAAGGTAGGTCTTTAGTAGTTTTCTTCTTAGGAAAGAAAATTAGACAAAAACAGGAATGAGCTACTTTTTCGGATAGGCAATATCTTGCAATATTACTGCAATAGACGAAGACAAAAAAAAGAAAGAAGAAAAACACTAAATCAAAAGGACGTGAAAACACAAGCCAAAGCAATAATAAGAGCCTAAGTTTGTAAATAAAATTGCTTGGGCATGCTTGCCCTCATGCGTAAGCCAGCAAACAAGAGCATGCATACAGAGCGGTTCTTGTGGGTCATCGCACAAAAATCCAATCTCGGAGAGAGTGAATAACATTAAATTGCAGCTCTGGTTCCAAGAGCGAAGAAATTGATGCAGGCCCATTTGTGCTATATTCTTTGTGAAAAAATAAAAAGCTCTATACTCGCAGTACGCTTTCTGTGGCAATCCGGAGAGGAGGAAAGCGCATGTACAGAGGTTGGTGCACCCTCTCCCCTAGCATTGACTGCATTGCCACAGAAAGCTGTCCGTGAGTATAGCTCTAATCAACAGCACACATGCAACCTACAGGCTAAAGGTCATGTTACTTGTATTGGTCCGTTTTGGGCCACGTACAAATGTATTTAAGCATTCAAACATTTAATGAACTTTGAGAAGCTGCCTCTACTGCCGTGTTTATTACTGTGGAATCAGTTTCCAGTACTAACGACAATGTTCAACTTTGTCCCAGCTTCCATATTTGGTAGCGATAATGTACCTAGCCTAGCTGTTTTTTTTTGTTTTTTTTTGTTACAGGCTAAGGTAATTAGCTGGCATTGTCTATTTCCTTTTCCGGTAACATTCCATAAAATAAATCAACAGGCATTCATTATTACTACAATTATGACACTTCCAAGGCTCACTGACCTTTTGTTGCAACAGGTCATGGCTCAGAAATTTTATTTCTTGTGAAAGTCCAGAAGTCTTGCTCTGCTCTTCCTCAAGGCTGCGCTGTGCCACACGCAGCTTGTGCTGAAGCATCTTGCAGTCGGCCTGTGCAACCTGCCGAAATAGTAACACTTTAGATGAGGCCAATCTGAGACGAGTACGTCCTCACATGCTATTGGCCAGGTTAGCCAAAAAGGAAGCTGCCTATGAAAGGTGCCAAGTAACCTCGATTTCAATATTGTATACCATGGCCTTTTCTACGCTGATATTTAATGAATGCATCACTAATGATCATATATGCTGCCAGTGCAGCCTGAGCAACATAAGTCAGCAGTGAAATGTGCATGTAAAAGATATCAAAGTCTTTGCATTTTTAGAGAAATCAATCTCTTTAAGGGAAGACACTACCCAGAAAAAAAATTTCTGCAAAAAAAGTTGATTTCGAAAAATGCTATATTTACATTCACCAACATCCAGAAAATCTTCCCAGAAAGTTTCATTAGTTTCCACAGCATAGTTAATTTTTTATAAATTATTTTCTGTCAACCGAAGCTAAAGAAAAGGTAGGGTTTGGAGCACTTTGAACGGATTTTTCTCCGTTATTTTGGTGTAAATTCCATTTTAGTCAATCTATCATTTGATAATGGCAATACAGGGAAGGCACGTTCTTCACTTTTCCTGACTGAAATTTAATAAGGAATGCGGCTATAGAATTTTTTGTCATTTTACGGATGTCTTTTATAAAAAATGTTGACCAAAAAGTTGACCAATTTTGCACAAGAGAAAATTTATAGAAATAAATAACTTTTTACAAAAACCTTTCCATAGCCACACCGCCTAGGCATTCTGCTACATATCTAGTGAATAAAAATCTTGGAATATTGTGATAGTTTTCCGACAATAGATTGACTAAACAATGTAGGCGTGTTGCTGATAGAAGCTGCTCTAATTTCTTTCCCACTTAACCGACAGACCTGAAATTTTGGTGTGCCAGCCTACCCAGTAAATTTCATTAATTTTAAGCCAAGGGTTCAAAAGTTGACCCTCCCAGGGGGTGCGTCCCCTTACGCAAAATGTTTATTAATTATGCCCGAGGAAAGTACCCACAATCTCCAGAAATAAAGAGTGCAACACACTTTGTTCCAATGCAATAGATTATTTTTACCACTTTAGTCAAACTAAGAGGTTGCGACTGGAACTACCAGTATGGTGGAATGTGCTCTTCTGAGGCATTCATTTTAATGTAATTGATGAAGGTTGAGGTGCGATGCCGATTTGTACGAACCAACTGTAACAGAGTACCGATGTCACACTCGCACTATACTTTGTTTTAGCATAAGTAACTTGGCAAACAGTGAAAGATACGGCCCCACTAAGCCATTCAAAACGCTGGAGTGAAGCATGTGATAATGCAGTCATGTAAATAGTCCACACTACCATGCAGGACCGCCGGTGCAGCATGGACCGCCGGTGCTTGTTTAAATTATTTACACATAAGCATGAAGTTCTTTCGTAGCCAATGAAGGGAAGTCTGTAAATGTAATCTGTCGACTGTGACCTCTAGGTATGGAAACAGGAGGGTGATAAGGTTGAAGACAAGCACACTGATCACAAAAGCAAACGTAAAAAACAATGTTTTTCTTTTTATTACAATTTAGACTACATTTATAAGCCATAGAACACAAACACCTACACCAAAAGTGCAAGGTCACAGTCAGGGATGGGCAGTATTTCAAATACAAGTATTTGAAATACGTATTTCAAATATTTTGTATATTTTGCATTTGTATTTAATTACGAATTGGGTAATGTATTTGACGTGTGTATTTAAATACTAAAACGTGGGTATTTCAAATACAATTTTAATCAAATACAATTTTGTGGGCGAAAATACATCCCTCGAATTTATTGTCACTGTCCAGAGCAGGAAGAAAACTGCGTTCTGCACCGAATGCAGTGTCTCTCAATCAAGCACAAGCGTTTAGTGACTTTGTGATTACGGTGCTAGCCCAGGGCAAGAATAGTGACGAAATCGACGTTCACAGGCAGACTGGCTAAATAGGTGCCTGTGACAACTTGTGATGCTTTCCAGCCTGATTTCCATCCATATTTTTGCCTAGAACATTCTAAATGCGCAGGTCGTCCAGATTTTCGAAACTGGTGCGAGCTGCAACAATAAAAAAATTCTCTAGCTAGTGCAGTGATGTGATTGGCCTAAGCCATTTTGGAGCACCTTTTGGAGCAGCCAAAACAGTGTTTTGGAGCAACAAATGTGGCCTTTGGAGCAACCAAAATTGTATTTTGGAGCAGCAAAGGTGGATTTTGGAGCAGCCAAGACAGTGTTTCGGAGCAACAAAAGCGGCTTTTGGAGCAGATCTTCTTAGCAAAATAAAAATATTCGTGCTGTACAAAAGAAGGATACTTTATGTTGTATTGTGTTCTGACGTGATTTGTTGCGACGGAACTCGCTGCTTGTCTGTTTACTGCTGAGACATCCCATAAGTGTGCAGTGCTGCAGGCGTTGCCGAGCAATTCTGAAAAACCGCTTGCCACCGTTTTACTGGTTCCTGACGTGCCAGATTTTCGTAAAAAGTAAGCAAACATAAAACAACAAATTGCAAGCATCCCGGCTGGTGCCTCTGTCGTGCAATCATGTCCACATGCACGTTAGGGCAACTTCGGCGGGCTTGCGGTTGCGCGTGCTTCATCGCACGAGCGGACACAACAGCTGTTCGTTCGAAACCGAAACCATGCCAGTCCGCACCGTCGCCAATTGATTCCCAAAATTGCATGCAAAATGTAACTGCCGAGCATACTACGAAAAAAAGTCCAGCGGCGCGTTATGGCCAGGCGGGCAAACAAAATACAAGCTAAAAAAAAATTGAGTTAATCAATGCAAGACATGGCGCGCCAGGGTCAAAACGTTTTTTGAGCACCTTAATTGTGCAACGACTGAACTCGACACAAACAAGTGCGCGGTGCGGGTTCAGCGTGTGAATATTGCCCTCTTTGTTTTAGCTCACTTTTCTTCATTAACTTTTTTTCGTGGCAGATTTTTCATGTACCGGGGTCCCTCGCGAAGGGAAGCCCACCGAGGGAAACCTATAGGTAATCAATAATTCCACACAGCAGTCTTCGAGTTAAAGAGAGCTTCGTAGTAAAGTATGATTTTAAACAAGAACAGGAATGTTGACGAGCATGCGGCGGTACTTTGTTTCATTTTAGAAATCACCATATCTGCAGCGACGTGGGGACGGCACCACCCAACGTCGCGCGACTACGTTGACTATAATAGAAAGCAGGGACCAAATACAGTTATCCCACGGCCATTGCTTTGAGGAGCGAGTGCTTCAGCTCACAACATAACTCCTGCCGTGTAAAAACGTGGTTTCGTTTCACAGCACGACGGCATGGCTGGTACCTGGCACGCTAGCGTCGGAGCATCCGCACACACCCGCGTCTATTGTTAAAAATATTTGAAAAAAAAAAAAAAAGACACGAGACGAGACCCACGACACGACGAGAGCGCGAAACGCGAGACAGCGGGAAACAATGCAAGACTGGACGGAGGTTGATGCAGGGTATTCTGTGCCGGGCGGCCGCCTGCGCCACTTAACACATACATGCTCAATTACGGTACTTAGTTTAGTTTCGGTGTTGAAAGGCGGCCGAAATTGGTTTTGTGGCGCAGGCTTGGCGCAGATTACCCGTATATTGGCAAAATGTAGCAGGATGTAGCAGGGTTAGCCCCTTGGCGCAGTTTGGCGCAATAGGCGCAGCAACCACATCACTGTAGTGCTGCGCGTCTTAGCCATCTCGGTTCTTTGTTGGTCTATACCAAAATGTAGTCAACAAAAAAAGCTACTTGAAGCTTTGTACTTTTTTCACCTATTACGTCCAAGCTGATTACATTTTTTTTAGATTATATTTCTATTACGTTACTAGAGCCTCGCACATTTAACTCCCGGGTGTGCGATGCAAAATTAAAATGAGATACCCAGAAACCCGTCGCAGATGCCCTGAAATCGCTGACGCAAATTTTGAGGAATGTATTTGGAAAAGTATTTGGAGGAGACCAAATACATTTCGTTGTATTTGTATCTTGTACTTAAATGCTTTTTTGGATATGTAATTAGATTTGTAATTAAATACATTTTTGATGAAGTATTTTGTATTTGTATTTCGATACATATTTGCATGTATTTTGCTCATCCCTGGTCACAGTGTATTCAATGCGCTTGATTGGTTTATACAGTCGTAATAACCATGAACAAAGTGCAAATGCCGTGACGCTGCACTTAGGGTGCTCCTCAATTGGCCCCGTCGGCTCGCTCAACAGGCCCTCGTAGCATCGGCTGCGCACTGCTTATGGTGAAGCGAAGTGTGATGAGACTGGGCAGTTCTGAAGGCTTTACTCATCGAAAACGGCTTTTGAGTGCTTTTCGAGGTTGGGGAGGAGATTGGACGGTCACACCCTCCCGGCAGTTCACTTCGGCTGCGGCGAAGTGCCGACGAATCTGCTTCGACGCAGCAGATTCGTTGCACATGGTGTGAAGGACACGTGGGAACCCACCTCGGACTCGCATGTCACGGGAACCAATACCAGATTGCTGACGCAGCAGATTTGCGTTTCACGGTGCGATACACATGCGGGATCAACTCGCGTGTTACGGGAACCAATGTCGCATGGCAGATCACGGACAAAAATCCGTGAACCCGCCACAAACTCCTTTCTCAGAATGTACCGGTACAGCAGATCGCGCAGTTGATGCGATTCCAATCGGTCGTCGCGTGATGTCCGATGAAAATGGGAGTGGGCGGTGTTTCGGTATTTTTATGTTATAGAAATTTAGCCAGAAAAATCGGACGGGCGATCTCCCGGGGGAGGGTACCCTTACGAGATTTTATGGTAGACTGATCTCCTTGCTAATAAAGATGATCTATAGTCGGTTACAAGTTAAGAAGGTAGTAGAAGCCCCTCCCCATAAGCGTGATGCGCCCGCTTCAGACGCCTCCGCAGTCGAGAAAATAGTTCGCTGAAAACGTCCCTTCTGCTTCAATAGATGGATATTAACTACGGACAAACCTTGTAGTATGCGGCAGCTTGCGCCACC